ACAAAGACTTGTTAGTAGTGTGTGTCCTAGAATAACCTTAGCGGGGGCGTTGGGCGGCTCTCGGGCCTCAGAGGCCTTTTGGAACACGTCACATGAAGCTCTGCAGCGTTCGGTCAACCTCGTCTGTAAACGTCAAGCAGGAGAAATGTTGTTCATCCTGCAGCGGAAAACTTTTCTAAAGTTCTGGTTCAGGTTGTTGTCAAACTGCAAACACAAAAAAGGCTAAAACAGCCAATTTTACAGATAAGAGGCTTAAATTTGATGTGGTAGTAGCCGAAAGTCATCTCCAACACATACTCTGAGCATGTAGTTTTGCAATAGTGCATGTGGTAATAATTCAAGAAAATGGGTCAATTTAAAAAAAGTGGGTCAAAAAAGAAAAATGTAAAGAGAGTTGAAAAAATAATTGTAATATAATTAAAATACAAAAAGGAGAACATTTTGCATTAAGCTGTTTCCTTCATTTAATTGGATTTAAATGTTGCAAAGCATCAAGGACTTTAATGCATGTTGCATAAAATAAAATGGTGCAAAAAAAGTAAGAAAAAAGGCATTAATCATAATTTTAGTGTTTATAAATAGAATTGTTCTGCTTTGTGATGATTGCAAAATGTTGTGAAGCCTGTTCGAGTTCAGTTGTGACTCTATTAAGTTTGTTTTTCTGACTTTTTTCCCGCCTGAACCTCTGACTGAATCCCCCTGGAAGCTGCAGGAGCTGAACGGTTCCCGCTCACGTTGCAGCTCAACGTGACTCGAAGATGCGAGCGAGGGGCCAAGATTAACGTGATGCAAAGCACCACACGAGAATGTGTGTCACATTTGAGGAAGGAGGAGGAAGTGACGGCCGCTGCCAAAATATCTGACCTACTTCTGCGGAGAGGAGAGGAAAACAGGAGCGCGACACGACCCGACTGAAAACTGGAGGAGCGGATTTTTACACTACAACAAGGTAAGCAACTATTTATTAACTTTTTTTAAAGTTGTGGATGAAGCATAAGCGGATACAATCACGATTATTTTTCCGTTTCAAGCGTTTTTGTGCACTTTTTTCGCGACTTTTATTAGTTTTCGCGCACGTTCTCGCGTTTTACTTGCTTCTTGTGTTGCATTCTAATACGGTCGGAATAATTTGTTAAAGAAGTTGTTTACTCCGGAGCGCGACTGTTTTGATGGCGATCACGTGACCCAGTCCTCCGCGTAGGACGTCCCCTTCTTGTCTTCATAACAAACAAGTAAGAGGACAGCGTCTGGAAGTAAAACCTAACAGTTGATGTCCACGGAATTGACGTCTTTCGACACCGGACTGGACAAAGTCTGATTTCATATTTTCGAACGAAGTCCTCAAACGCAGCACGCCGATGGTGAGTGTAGAAACTTTGTTAGATAACTTTGTTTAAAACTCGCTGTTTCGACAACTTTTTCGCGTTGAATTCACGCAGATATGTTGGTTGGTGTTCGTTTTAGTCGTCGTGGGTGACCCGCGAGATGTCCGTGTTTTTTGACAGGATGCGGAGCGTTTCTGTGCCGCATCTCATTGACCCACATAACAATCCAACTGCGTCACTTTCACTCCGGAGCCGCAAACACCCGCTGCTTGGATCCGCTCTGCGGAAACAGTGCGGGACGTTTAATGGTTTTTTCTTTCTTTTTAACCCCCCCATTTCTTTTTAGTGGGAGGTGTTCTGTGTGTTTTTCCTGGGAGTGGGGTCCCACAGTGGAAACGTGACCCGCACGATGCGTTTTCACCGCAAACTTTCTCTTGCAGACGCAGAAATCAAAACTCTCCCATAGAAAACGGCAGTAAAGCCTGAAAACGCATTTAACGCACATCTGTGCACGTTTTGCACGAGCTGACGGCGCTTTTCTGCGCAGAAGCGCTTCTTTTGAACGATCTGTACATTTTGTACTTTAGGTGTCGGGTGTGCGCCGTTTGGACCCTCAGGGCCTCCGATTCCTGCAGAAATCTGCGCTGCAGCCAGAAACGAGCTCCGTGCACGGTTGAGGAAGTCGCTTTAGAGCTTTCAGACTCTCCAGAGAAACTTTAAAAGTCGATCTCTGGGGATTTTAGAGCAACTTGTGGGAGTGAACGCTTCAAAAAAGCTCCCAGGAGTGAGTTAAAGGAGTAAAAGTGTGTTAGTGTTATCACTTTTTAGTTTCACCCTCCTGCTGCCCTTGGGTCAAAACGCCCCTGAAGTTCTGCAGTAGCTCAATGTGTTTGTGCTCCAACTCTCAGCTACTACCACACCACATTTTTTGCGTCCGAGCTGAAGAAAAACAAACTCCATGTTGACATTTCTCATCGTTCCTCTAATTAACTGCAGTAGACGGGGAATGCAGGAAACATTTGGCACCACGAGCTTTCACGAAGCCCTTCTCTCCACGTGTGACCTTTCCCGTCGACCTTTGACTGTTAAGCGCCGGAGCAGGTGGGGGACGTTGCTCCCTCCATGTTGGAGATACGTTTAGTGTTGGCTCAGGCACCTGTCGTGGCAATTAATTAATTAAATCGTTTCTTCGTCTCTCACTTTCTACTGAAGACACTGGATGACAAAAGGCTCAACTCCGGTGCTCCTCACTGACCCCACCCTAACTCTTTTAAAAATGCATTTTAACCGTCCAAAATTGCGTTTTTGGATCGTTAAAAGTAGCTAAGCTAAAAGGCAGACCTCCGGGGAAAAAAAATCTCCGTCTCGTCGAAGCTCCGAAATTCACGGTTGAAACCCGTGCCTTTGTGTAAAAAGTTTTTCTCTGCAAAAAGAAGCTGAGAACTTGTTTACTGATTGTTTTAAATTAAAAGCTTTGTGTGGAAAAATGCTATGCTAAAGCGCTCAAACCACACCGAGCGTCTGCCACTTTTCTTAAAAAGACACGCTGCTCGCTCCCTCACTATCCATCCTTCGGTTCAAACAGTTATACTGCCATCCAGTGGTCAAAAAAAGTACTACATGCAAAGCAAATTAACATACATTCTTAAATTTGACAATAATTGCTAGTTATTGTCAAATTTCAAACAATATTATCGTTTATCGCAATAATTTCTGAGACAATTAATCGCCCAGCAAAATTAGTTCTCGTGACAGGCCTACCTGTCGCTGCTCTCAGTTTTAAATCTCGTTAAGGTGTTCAAACACTTAAAAACAAAACTCTTGTACGTGATGACGTGTCTGGTCTCACGCTGCGCTCGTCCTCCAACAGTGACAACGCGATGGCCTCTACATCGGCATCAACAGGTGGACCTGCGGCGTCCGACTCGGAGCTCTCGCACCTGGAAGGCGTCGAAGCTTTGAAGACGAAGGTGGGTCCGGTGCGGAGGAACCTCTTCGGGCCCGTGGACCACCAGCAGCTGCAGCAGGACTTCCAGCGGCTGCTCTGCATGAGCGTGGAGGTGGCCAACAAGCGCTGGAACTTCGACTTCCAGCGAGACCGGCCAGGAGAGGGCGCCAGCATCCAGTGGGTGGAGCTCAGGTGCCAGGATGTGCCGGCGTTCTACCGGAGCTGTTCGGTGCGACCGGCGGTTCGACCTGGAGCCAAGAGGCGGACATCGATGTCTTCGATGTCGTCGTCGGGCGAAGGGTCTCCCGTTTCCAGCAGCTCCTCTGGGGATGAGTACCTGGAAGTGATCACAAGGGGGTGCTATCCCATTCATCGACCGAATAAACGTCAATCTTCCATAACAGGTGAGTTCACGAAGACGAGACTCAACCCTCGACTTATTTACGTCTAGAAATCAATAGGTCAACATGTACTTGTTGGCACCTTCAGCTCTTCTGACAGAGAACATGTCTGTATCTAGTGACAACAGCAATAATGAAGTAATAGTGCAATCAAATCCGTCTGTTTTCACTTTTAATTAAGTGTTACACCAGGACAGCTGCCAGGGTTGCAGTGAAATAATGTGCGGCGCCTGGAGTACAAGCTGCACAGGAAAATCAACCGTGACCACAAACACTTCTTTTTTATTTTCTTCACAGCAGTCACGGCCCAGAGAGCGACTTCTTTAGTGCTTTATTATTTACTCGATGGTGTTTTTGTGTAGAACGACCCCAACTTCTTTACCTGGAAACCTAACCTGGTCACGTTTCTTCTCTGCAGACTTCTTCAAGGTGAAGAAGAGGAGGCGTCTCCATTCCAAAGTGTCTCCTCGGCAGTGAAAGCCCCGGCGGCCTCGACACGTGTACATATGTAGCATCGGATAAATGACTTTCCACGAGCTCAAAGAGCTTCCAAACTTCTGACTCCACGTGTGTTTAATCCTCAGCGCAAGGAAGCTACTTTTCTCATCGCTAGTCGAGCTCAGACTTTAGAACAGGGCTAACCAACTGGTGGCCCGGGGGCCAAATCAGGCCTGCGGGTGAGCTCAGTTCGGCCCACCAGTGGGTTCATTTTTAAATAAAACTACACTTTAAACCGTAAAACAAACTGAATGACAACTGCTGGATGTCCGGCCCCTGAGCTCTTGGCTTTCTGCAACTGTGGTCCACTGAGCAGTTTACCGTATTTTTCGGACTTTTAAGGCGCATTAAGCGAAACAAAAACATTTTTGACAGATTTTTGAGCGCCGTGTGCCACATAAAATCTGTTCAAGGTCAGTAAGCACAAAACCGGAATTAATGCATGAGGCGCACTGTTGATTTTTGAGAGAATAAAGGATTTTAAATGCGCCTTATAGTCCGAAAATTACGGTAGTTGAAATAGCCCTGCTTTAGAAGCTGTTTGTTTGTTTATACATTTGTTGATAAATATGCTGTACAGTTTATATACGGTTGTGCTCAGCTTTTGACTATACTGTGAAATCATGTTAAATGCACTCTTTGATACTAAAACAGGACAAAAGGAGATTAATTCATCTCTGGTCCTCGACCCTTTTCTTCAGAGGTTTTTAGCAGAGCTGTTACGACCAGAGGTCAAAACCTCAACCTGCTACTGCAGGTCAAAGGTCAGCAGCTCAGATTTTAGATTATAAACAGGTGATTTAAAGCGACATCCTCCTCAGAGCAAACATTAAACTACAGTAAAAATATTTTATTTCCATAAAGCCTCTTGATAAGTATTAAGCTTTAAACGCCGTGAAGGAAAATGTTTTCTCGTGTTGCAGCTCGAAGGAATCGGATTTTACGTTTCGACTGTTTCAGATGAAAAGAGGTCCCGGCGCAGTTCATGTGCACATGCACGTCAGTTATTGTTGCTTTTTGTTTTCCATCATGTAACAGTTAACGTGATGTCTGCTGAGGCAGATCAGAGAGCGATACGTTTTACAAATATTGCTTCTTTTTCGTTGAAACATCGTTTTTTTTTTTTTTACTTAAGTGAGATCTGGATTTGGATGTATAGCCATAATCTGGATTAATCCACTCGTACTACCTCATGAAGCGATTTAAAAACGAATCGAACAGAAAAAAAAAGCCTCAGCGGAGCTCGGGTTGCGTCAGCGGGCGTAAAAGCGAGAGTCGTATTTCGTTGCGGTGAAAACTCCGGCGTGGGTTTTGACGGGTTTTTTTTCCCGCCACTTCACCGGGACGACTTCCGGGAAAAGATCGAACTTAAAAAAAAAAAAAAAAAAAAAAGTCTCACTTTCGCCTCAGTCCATAAGAATATTTAATTTGACAAATAAATAAGCAAATCACTTATTTTTTTACTTGCTGTGTGTTTTCAATAAGTGTGCACAAACTTATTTTTAGCTTGTTTTAGGAAATTAAATCCTTATTTTTAACCAATCCCGTTATTTCTTAACTATATTTTTGCACTACTTTAAACTTACTCGACTAAACGACTAATTTTGTGACGAGAAGCTTTAAATAAAACAGAATTTGGACGCCTCATCAAATCCATCCGGTGAATTAAATATAGAAATAAAACTGACCTGTTGGTCTCCGGTAATATTCGCTCAATAACCTGTTGTAGCCATAACGATAAGAAGAGTATAGATTTTATGTACATGCATGAATGTATTTGTATATCGTTTGTAATAATTTTATAGTAATTTAATACTTGTTTTTGTATCCTTACATTTAAAAATGTATCCGTTCTGATATTTGTATATAAAACTGATTGCTTGTTGTTGCTTTTTGCTGATTTATAGTGTGGACGATGAAATTAAAATAAAACTAAAAATAAAAAAAAACATTTTGACTGGTCTCCATCTTTAGATTTTAAGAAAATAAAGAGAAAGTTCTGATTTGGCGCGGGGCTTCAGGTAAGGGCGAGCGGAGCAGTCGCGTTATACCGAAGCTGCGCTCTCCGTCCCGGATTTGTTTTCATGTAAGTGTTATAGCTCCACTCACAGACCCGGTGTCCAAATGAAAAACTTTAAGAACCCTCCTGGGGTTAAATCCCTCCAGGTTAGACAAACAGAAAAAACAGCGGGGCATGACTATGCTATGCTAATGGAGGATGCTAGCTCCCCTGCTAAGGGGCAGGGATCAACTGACGCCATTGAACACTCCAGAAAAAAAAACTAATGAGAAAAAAAAAACAAGATACATCCGAAGAAACTAACTCATTGAAGAAATACATTTTATTGGCCATTAATCAACTCTGGCAACGACTTGACCTTTGTTCACAAATAAAGCAACACAGTGCTATGCTAGCCTCTAGCAAGAACGACCACTTAATTCAGAAGACTGCAAAATGAACATCAAGACATTGGAGCAACAGGTTGGCTCCCTCCTTAAAGATAAGGAGGACCTGAAGGAACGGCTGGTGGAACAAGAAAGGTACAAAAGAAGGTGGAGTCTTTGGATCAAAGGGAAAAAAAGAAGAGGTAAATGAGAACATCAGAGCCGAACCCGTCAACCTGCTGTGCAAAGTGGCTCCAAAAGAACCAGTCGAGATGACGTCTGGAGAAGAACAAAGTCATCAGCTGTGTGCAGAGAGGCAGGTGTCCGGTTTGCTGAAGATCTAACTAAAGACAATCTTCTGGCAAGACGAGCGCTGTGGCCGAAGACTGAGCAAGCCAGGAGTGAAGCAAGTTTTTATTTTGTGTAAGGGGCAAAGGTCAAATATTTTCCTTTTTCAAGAGACTCACTCCGACAAGCCTGACGTTAAATTTTGGTCCCAGCAGTGAGACGAGATTATATGTAGTCGTGGATCCAATCGCTCGGCAGGAGTTGCTATTTGTTTTAATACATTTTCTGGTGAAGTTCTTACAGAAAGGACGGATAATGAAGGTCACTGGGGAGCTTGAGTTTTGAAAATAGAGAAAAAAATCATTTTATTTTGATCAATATTTATGGATACAACAACAAACATAAAAATAAAACTTTGCTTTACAAAATTACAAATGTCATAGAAGAGCTGATTTGGTAGTAGGAGGGGAGGGGGCCCTCAAAATATTCACAATATCATCCTAATCCTATTTTTAGTAATTTTATGAATATGAATGGCCTGTTGGATGTGTGGGGGATCAATAACCCAACACAAGACACTTCACATGGTTAAAACCTAATGGAAACTCTAAATCGAGAATTGATTACTGGTTGGTTTCCGCTCCCATAATGCAGTTCAAACTCTTAATATTTCCATAAACCCCCTTAATGATCACTGTGTTATAAATTTGATCTTCTCTAATCAGACTCTCTCTAGAAGTAAAAAAAGATTATTGGAAATTCAATTAATCCCTTTTAAAAAAATGATCTATATTGTTGTAATATTAAATAATTAATTTTGGACATTAATAAAATACCAATATATAAAAATGGGAACTTTTAAATTTTTTAATAAGAAAACAGGAAAAAGACAAAATAATAAACAATTTAAGACCTATCACTTCTGAATACAGACTATAAGGTTAAAATCTGATCTTCCAAAAGCTCTCAGTCAGGATTTATGAAATTAAGATCAATTCATAATAATATCAGATTGGTTTTAGATCTTATAGATTATAGATTTGGTGGAAGATGATGCTTATATTTTATTTCTTGACTTTCAAAAAGCGATTGACTCAGTTGAACATCCTTTCATTTATGAAACATTAAAACACTTTGGATTTGGTGAATATTTCTTGAACATAATTAAGATGTTACACACGGATAAGACAAGGGTGTAGTTTATCTCCATTGTTCTTTATTACAGTCGCCGAGTTATTGTCCATCCGGTTAAAAAATTCTGATTAGTCAATTAGCGGATGACACCACGCTGTTTTTGAAAGATACCTGTCGCTCTTGAAGTGATGAAATCATTCTCCAAAGCTTCAGGTCTAACTCTCAATCTTCATAAATAAATGTGAACTTTTAAGTATTCATGGCAGTTTGGACAAGTTGCTGTACAATATCCCAGTGAAAAAAGAAGTTTGTTACTTGGGTACATGGATATCCAAAGATTCTAAATCAAGTGTCGGCGAGAACATCCAGACGCCAATTGAAAAATGCTAAACAATTGGTTGCAGAGGGACTTAAATTAATTTATTTCCAGACTAATATATCCCATTGACGCTTTACCACTTTCCACACAAACCATAAAAGAAATAAACACCTTAATTTTCCATTTTATTTGGAAGAATAAACATCATATCAGAAAAGCAGATATAATTAAAAGTTGTGAGGAGGGAGGAATAAAAACCATGAATGGTGCTAAAGCTACGATGGCTCCAGTCTTTTCTGAGATGTGAAGATATTTGGTTTTCTTTACTTAACTTTGTGTTCAAGACATGAGGTGGCATTGATTTCCTGTTGAAATGTGACTGAGGTTTCAAAGTTACCCGTGAAACTCTCTTGATTTTCATCAGCAGGTCTTGTTTTACTGGAAAATGATTTTCAGGCATAACTTTAGTTCAAATAATGTCCCATTGTGGAACAACAGGGCGATTCTGAAGAGAAGAAAATCAATGTTTATGAAAGGATGGATGGAAAATCAAATTTGGTCTACTGTTCATTTGATAAACGATAAAGATTGGTTAAAATGTGAAGAATTTTGCAATAAATATAAAATAATTTGTACCCGAGGATTACAGAAAGGTAATAACATTCCAAATGTTATAATTAACCTAATCAAGAATAATTTAGATCAGATCCCAACCCCCAGATTGCATAAAATAATAATGATATAAATTTTGTAGATAAAAAAATGCAGTAATAAAGTTTTGAGAAATCTTTTAATCAACGAGATCTATCCTGGGTCCATAAAAGAACATATCGATTAAAAAAAACAACAAGAAATTAGATCGATCAGAACTAAATTTTTGAAATTTCCAATCCCTCCTAAAGTGAAGGAAATCTACCCTTCACAGGAGTTCTTTAAAAGAATATTCAATTTTGAAACGGAGGATTGTTATTTTTGTAAATCAATGTTGGAGTCAACAGAACGTGTGTTTTACGAATGTGAGCGTGTACGTGGTTTTTGGAACGAGTTACCTAACTGGTTGATATCCAAGTCTCTTAAAATTGTTTTTTTTCTTTTCTTGGAAAGTACTAAAATTTGGAATTTTATTAAAGAATAAAAAAAAATTGAATATTTGATCAATAATATTATAATGTTTGCCAAATTCTTCATCCATAAATGTCGTTTTACAAAAGCTCTCCCTATTCTAAAAGCGTTTAAGAACGAGTTTGTAGTTCTTTTAAAATAAATTAAGACAGCCCCTGCTATCAGACTTTTCTCTATTTCGTCAGAGTTTAAGTTGTTATAAACCCCAGGATTTACTTTAATTTTTTCACCTGTTAAATTTCAGGAATTGTGATTTCCTTACTTTTTTATATATATATATATATATATATTGTTGGCTATAATATCGAAGTTGTAATTTTTGTATAAACATTTTGTTATTGATAGGGAGGTTTTGTCATGTTAGCTGAAATAGATTTGTTAAATGTGAAATTGTCATTGCCTTAGTTCTTTGTGTGTTTTATTATTTTTCTAATTAAAAACAAAGTTCTGATTTGGCTCACAGCGCCCTCTGGTGGAAGATTGTGCAAAATGCCTTTTTATTTAAAACAAAAGAGAACTTTACAATAAAAACAAGTTTCACGTTACATTCCGTTACATTTGACGGCTCATCTCACGAAGGCAACGACAAAAACTAAAGAATCCACAAAAACGGCGTCGAGCTAAAATAAATTTAAAACGAGACGCTCGGATCTGCGAGTTCAAATTAAAACACGGGTTTAATTAAAAAAAATGTAAACGTTGGAGGAGAAAAGGGAATGATGTCAGAGAATTACCGACCGCCCCGACGACAAAAACAAAAAAATAAAAACAGCTTGAAGTGATATTTTCACAATTAAAGTCATATTTTGCTGCAGTATCACTAAATATAAATACAAAATCGTGACAATCATTATTCACATTCCTAACAGACCCGCAGGTCTAGTGTTTAAAATTAAAACTCAAGACTGAAACAACGTTGTGCAAAAGTCTTAAGCCACCCCCTATGTCCTTATATTTCACCTCCAAACTGCCAAACGTTATTTTAGAGCGGTCTTGACAAACGCTGGATTTCAGCTGCTTTCCCCCTCGCTTCCAGTGAAAGTGAATATTTTAAGTTAAGTTATTTAAAATCTGACCTATGAATCATTCAGGGAGAAAAAAGCTCCTAAACTTTAACAAACCAGGTTAATGTTGACAGACAAGATGGCCGCCGCAGCTAACTGTCTTTATAAAACACATAAATGCCTCTAATTGTGTTAGTTATACAGATATTGAGCTAAAACTCGCTGTGGTAGTAGCTGAGAGTCATCTCCAACTCAAAGTCTGAGCGTTTCTAATTTCAGTTTTAAAAAAGCTTTCAGATACCGTTGGTCTGCAGCAGACGCTTCATTGGTCGCGCTCCACTTTCATCTCTGAAGACAATCGGCCCGGCACAACGACCACACAAGAAACGAGTAACGAAGCAGCCGGAAGAAAACTTTTGATTAAAAACACCCAGAAAGAACCGTGGATCAAGACCGTTTCAAAATACTACAAGAAACCTCGGCTGTTTGGAAGCAAAATGTTTTTATCCGTTAAAAAGTGACGTACAGGTGCATCTAAAAATAGAATATCGTGGAAAAGTTCCATGTTTTTGAAGCATGAAGTCTCTAAAACGTCCTGCTCGATGCTGCGTGGACTGAGGACTTCAGAAAACCCTGTGGACCAGCATCAGCAGAGGACATGGACCCAAACCATCACCGACTGTGGAAACTTCACTCCGGACTTCAACAATGTGGGTTCTGGACCTCTCCGCTCTTCCTCTGGGACCTTGATTAACAAATGACGTGAAAATGGACGTTCATCTGAAAAGACGATGTTGGACCACTGAGCAACAGAGAACAATTTTTCGCCCAATAAGTCGCGGTTGTGCATAATTTTCATGCCCTGCGACTTATAGGCCGAAACGACGTATTTATGGATTTTTGCTCCATATTTATAAACCAATTTTGGTTTGAGATATGACCATTTTTATTCGTTCCGACTGAAATATTGAACACTACCATTTTTTTTAGCAGCTAGATGGCACTCGAGTTGTACGGCATGCCGTTGTGTCATGTAAAAGTGGCTATTAATGACAAGATCAGCTTGCCACCGTCGTCTGCCTGGAGCAACCGTCACATCAGCTTCACTTTACGCAGCCTCGACGAAATGCAGCTGATTTGACCATTGAAATGCATTTATTAAGTAAAAGCTCAACTGAGACTCACCTTCACTATGTCAAGCAAACAAACAATTGTTTTAGGTGCATATCTTGTTAAATTTCGAAGAAACGCGCAGCGACTCGTCCCTCTGCGCGTTCCTACGTTCACATATGTGGGTTTGAAATGCAGCTGATTTGACCGTCAAAGTGCATTTATTAAGCAAAAGTTAGACTGAGACACATTTTACTGTAAAGTCGAGCACACAAATAATTGTTTTTAAGCGCTAATCTTGTTAAAGTCCTCTCGTGCGTGCCCCAGTGGCCGCCATTTGGCAGCCAATCATTTTTTGGCACGACACCGGCTTACATTTCCAGGTTGTCAGCGGTGATGCATAATAGATGTGACATATTTATGGATTTTTTCCACTTTATTAGACATTTTAGGACCGATGCGACTTATAGGGTGGTGCGACGTGTACGGTGGAAAATACAGTAATCCCACGTGATAAATGAGGGACTACTGTAGTATCTTTCACAAATTTACAGAAAATTTACACCAAAAAAACTGCTAAAACTCACATTTTCTGTTGTGGGTATAAATAAAAAATTAAACACAGTATCACGTTAGTTTTGGTCAAAGCTTCAAAGAGCCACAGATGAGAGAGGAAAGAGCCGCATGTGGCCCCAGAGCCGCAGGTTGCAGACCCCTGGATGAGGGTGAGACACCAGGAGTTTCTAATAATGAACCACCTCACGATGTTCTAATTTTTTTTAGATGCACCTATATTTACATCCATTCAAACCGTTAAAACAGATGTTTTCTGTACATTTCAGAGGTTCACAAATCCTCCAACAGTCAGGCACTTCCAAATCCTAAATCAAACCTCAACGGTGCATTTTAAGACGACAGCGATTCCTGAACCTAAAGGATCTAAACAGACCTGCTGCATGGTCCCTGATCAGAGAGGCAGCACAGCTGGCGTCACAGCTGGCGTCACAGCTGGCGTCACAGCTGGCGTCGCCGCGCTCGTCTGTCTCTCCACAACGCTCGTAGCTCCCGTACCAGCAGTGGCGTGATGAACAGGATGCTTCCACCTGTCTGCGATTTAAAAACAAACACAGCTTTCAGCCAAGAGTTTCTTTAGTTTATATTTTGAAATTTCATACATTTTAGTAGAACAACAGTTAGTTAAACATGAAAAGGCTATAAACTTCTTGTCAATTCTCTGTATGTTTATGGAAAAGTTGTTCACCTCTAAATTAAAATTTCATTTTTTTCCCCACTAGTTTTACAATTTAGATAATACGAAAAAAAATTTCCTCTTAATTATGAGGAAAAAGGGAGAATTCTGAAAATAAAAAAGTCAGAATTCTGAGATTAAAGTCAAAATTAAAAAGTCAGAATTCTGAGA